GTAGAGATTTCTATCTCTAATGTAAGGTTTGTATCTTTCGGCTTCCTTAATCATGTCGGCTAAGCTAGAACACGAGTCTCTTCTCAGTGTCAGCTTATACTCGGGTCGCATGTTGAGGAATAACCTATCAAGGGTTTGATCTAAGCTATAGCCACCACATCGTCGGATAAGAGTCGTCAGTGCGACAACAAAGCTGCGAAATGGTTCATTTTCGCCTTGAGTTCGCGAGCGAATTTCGTCTTCTAGATTTCTTTTGTACCCCGGGGGCAAGAATTGTACCTCAAAAGATTCTTTGAAGTCCTCAAAAGTTTGCCAGAAATCCTTATTATTTCTGTACCATAGAAGTGCGTTTCCACGCAACAGCTCAGGAAGAGCTTTCAAAATATCAGCGGGGGCTATCTCGTAGCACTGTCTTAATTCTTCTAAGCGCTCTAGAAAAGATACGGGGTTACGGTCTCCGTCGTAGTGGAGATTCCATTTTCTAGCGATGTTACAAATCGCTGCTGCGGAAAGCGGATTAGCGAAATTGGTTTCCCTTGAATACTGCAGAGGTGCGTTATTTGTTTGGTAATTATGTTGAGGGCGTGAAGTCATTTGCATGTTCGTTGCTGGGGACACACTTGTGTAAGTATTTAAGTTCAACGGGTAACGGACCTCATGACGCGTCGTTGGCGGGAGAGCGGCGTCGTTTACCATAGAAATGACTGAGAGCATTCGTTTTACCGTGTCCACGCTCGCATCAGGCGGCAGGCCAAGCATTTCCCTTACAATGACTGATTCGTCGCTGGTCGCGTTTCTGTCGTCGTTACTATAACTAGTAAAGTAATTATCACCCCCATGTCCGCTTGGAGGTATAAATTCACTAAATTCCGGCCCGGCTTCTGTCGCTGGCAGAGCGGATTGTCTTAAGAATTCAACAAAGCGGCTCCTGAGAGTATCGCTGTTACCCTCAGTGTCTAGACCGTATTCTCTCATCTTTTCTTTTAATTCCTTTTTCTTAAGATAATAGACCCAACCTACTTTTCGCGTGGCTGTAAGGTCTGACAAGTCGCGCCCTGATTCCATTCTTTGTTTTGGGATCACGCCGGTACTCGTAAACGTTGGTAGGGTTTGTCCTATTGAAGGTACGGAAACAGCGGTAAATGTTTGCGTTGTGTGCGTTAACAAGGTCGTAACTGGACCAATAGTAGTTTCGGGTGTACTGACGGTCGGGTGTGTTATCTCGTCGTTTTTCTCATTTGCGCCTGCCATTTTTCTCTCTATTTCAAACAATATATTATGCGATAAGTCCCTGTTCGGGCGCCATTTTGTAACCCGCTTCCGGGTGTGTTTCCTTAATTTCTCGGGTCGGGGCGTTACGCGTCCCTGATAGCCTAGCCGAGCTGGGTTATTCCGGGGGTCAATTTTGGTCGGGTTTCCCGCTTTTGTATCCTAAAGTCGTTTTCCTGGCTCAGGCGGGAATATTTTGCCTCTTGGCTTTATTCGTGCCTCATCATTGCCAGGAAACGAGTGAATAAAAGAGGGAAGGGCGAGATTTTGTTTCGAAGTTATAGCTTCGTGCGCGACTCTGTTCACAACCTCCTCGGTGGAGTGACAATTATTCATTGATTTAATTCACTACCCTAAGTCCATGCGCCACGGACCGAGCAGAATTAGTTTAGATGCGTCTTTATTATTTAAAATAATACAATGCGTTTCGGGCGAGTGGACTAGTTCAAAGCCCCGTGAGAGAGTAGGAATATGGAAAGGTGCAAACGAACATACAGAGTAGGGCGGAGAAGGATCGTTATAGAAAGAATAACATACGAGACACACACACACACATACACACAGACAGGTTGAGCACACAAAGACTTATTTCAAATAGGTTAAGTCTAACTAGAAACTAACTTATTCCCAGATTTTCCGGGATAGCTTAGGTCTAACTTATAAATAACTTATTTCCGGTGTGCCCGAAGTAATTAAAGCTAACTTATAAATAACTTATTTCCGGGTTTTCCGGAATAGATTAAATCTAGCTAATAACTAACTTATTTCCGGGTTTTCCGGAATAGGTTAAAGCTAACTTATAACTAACTTATTTCCGGTGTGCCCGAAGTAATAGAGAAAGAAGAAAAGCTTGTGGCAAGCAACAAACATTCATAGTCATAAAGTGATAGAGTAGAAGACTTATAGCTAAGAGCTTAAGTGCTAATTAAATCTAACTTATTTCCGGTGTGCCCGAAGTAATAGAGAAAGAAGAAAAGCTACTTAGCAAACTACAGCTAACCAAAGCAGTCAGCTGCACACACACAACACATACGATACACAGATCACTCAATTAGCAACAGTCCAGGAATCAAGGAAATGGTAAAGAATGGAAAGAGAAGTTGGGGCTTAACTGTCTAACGTCACGGCGAATTAAAACTCCCAAAACCAATCAGTTTTCCCAAAGCCTTAGTTAAGCATTGATAGTCAAAGGTTAAGCAAGGTTAAGCGTTATGCTAAGATTTGAAGCAATTTCTAAGGTTAGTGTGTTAGTAGCGGTGTCGTGTCATAAGTTAGAATATTTAAATGCTTATGGTTCAACACATCAATAATTAGTGGAAGGCTAAATGAATAATTAATAATGAAGTGGTAAATATGGTAAAGAATAGTAAAGCAACTACCTAGAACATTAACAGTTAATAGCGGCTAAGCAACGACATAGAACATAACTACTGTGCACTGGTTCTAGTGTAAAAGATAATGAATAGCTACAATGGTTAGTGTAGTTCTGAAATATGTACAAACAAATTAAAGCGTGTTAGTTAGTAAAGAAGCCAACAAAGTATTGAAATCACTCTAATAAATCCACTATTAATTAACTCTTATTCCCATAGATAAAATACCTCACAGCTGAAGTGCTGCTACAGTAATTACGAACAACATTGACTACAAACTAAACACCACACATTATATTTAGGTACCGGTAACACCGTGTTCTCACGGACCTACGCGATAAACAAAGCAAACAAAAAAAAAAACACACGAATATGAAAAGCCACCTTGCGTGACCGAAACCGATCGAACTTGAATAGATTTAAACAATACAAATAAAACAACACAATTAAAACAGAAAGGAATTATAACCGGGCGGATCTCGTTCTGACCGTTACTTCTTTGAACTCACGGTCTATAAATTATGTATTGAACGAAATTAAGATATTCCAAAAATCAAAGCTGATCGTTATATATTTACAGAGCTATTTTAACAAAACAGATAACACTCTATGTTATAGTAAAACGATAAAGATATTCACCGGTTTAAATAAATCGATCTCTGTTAATAATTCAATTAAATTTAAGACGAAACTTCCCGCGGACGTTTGACCTAAATAGCGTAATTAATTAACAGGAAATAAACGATAGCGAGTGAGGTCGAGTTATCCTAGGCGCCCTAGGATATTAACAACGGCGAATGGCGAATGGCGTCCACTTACTTGGCGTGTAGAGTCGGGCGTCCGTCTTCTGCCTAATTGCTCAGGCCACTGCTCCTGCTTCCTGCTGACTGTCGACTCTCGCCGACCCCGAGCCCCGACTCACTCACTGACTCGGCGAGCGCCGCGCACATCCAGCGCTGTGGCTGGGGTCCCTGCGCAGGCGCGGGCGTCTGATGCGCGCCCGGTGGTACGGCGGTGAACCACAAGATCAGCTGTTGCTGAACTTGTGTCATATGCTAATTTGTTTTGTTTACATTTTTGAACTTCGGCGAATTGGCGAGGCGATTCTGCTAGTAAGGGTTTAGTTTTATTATAAATATTCACGAATTTTATGAACCCTTACAATATAAAAACGAAAAACCTCTTCATTGACAAGTTATATCATCATCAGTCCTGTTGACCGGCCGGTACAGTAAAATGAAATAATTAAATATGAGAATCCTCTTCCTTGACAATTTACTCGACCGTCAGCTCACTTTTAGCACAGAAAACATACTACTATAACATAACCCTTTTAGGTGTTTTAGGAGAGGATAGGTAGAGCGGCAGTGCGCGTAGCTGTGGAGGCCATTGCAGGCGTACCAACGTCTATAACTGGGGTTTTTATTCCAACGATTTTCAGTTATTACAACAATGCAGTGTACTAGTGAGGATTGCTAATTTGTTATTGCGTGTAATTGTTTGTTTCTCAATTGATATTTTTAGATATACAGTGAATATAATTTTGCATAATGTTCCGAAAGTAAAAAAATACAAAACATAGGCTATTAGGCCTATATTCATTTCCTGCAATTTTGGTTTCTAAAGGAGGGATTGTGTAGCTTGGGAGAGAAGATGAGATGAGATTGGTCTCTATTTCACTTTTTCTGATCATTTACGACCATGAACAACTTTAACTTACCTAATGGTTAATGGTATAGACCTTTATATGCTTAACATAGCATTTTATTCTCCGTACGCTTATTCTACATAAGGTTAACATGGAGGATATTTTTAATCAATGGAGTGGGGTAAAATTAGGAAAATGCGAATTTTAAAAATCTTTAAGGTAATTTGGGACAAAGACCAACACCCCTAGCAAATTTCAAAATTCAAGCTCCAATATGAGTGGGTAAGTGGCCATGTCCCCAAATTCCAAGGACACAACTATCAAAATGGTTTTTTTTAGGGGGTTGGAATGAAGATAGGCGAAAGGCGTAAAGGAACAAAATGTACACTATAAAAAGTTGTATACAAAACATTAGTTTGTCAACTTTTAAATTGAAAGGAATCTCCAAAATCAGGATTTTATTTAAGCTAAAATCAACCCTCTCCCATTTTGAGGGTTAAGTAGGGTGATTAAAAACCCCCAATTTGGCTTGTTAAGAAAACTCTAGACAAATGTTAAGAAAAGTATGAAGTCAAACATGCCAAAAACGTTTTTTAACTCTCCCTTTGTAATTGGGCTTTTGCTGACACAAGTAAGGGCAAAGCAGCACTTGTGTATGTAACTGAAGATGATTGTCTGAAAGGGAGCTTATACTGTGGTTTTATTGTCAGTTCCAGGACAAGTGGTGTCACATTCCAGCCCCCCAGAGTCAGTGGCTTTGCCTGGTGGTTGTGTCATCACACCTCTACAGTTCCTCAGTTTAGAGCACTTTAAACAAAACCAACATGTCTCCGATTGGTAAATACAACCTTAATAGCATGTGAATACTTTGACCGGTTTCCAGTGTGTATGGAATGACAAGTGATCATAAAATATGTCTAAAAATTACTTTTGTTTCCATAGTCTATGGTTTTACCTTCGTGAAGCCGCTCAACTGCTGTTGGTTACGGCAGTTTTGGCATCACTATGCCATAGTCACTCACAAATCTCGACTGAAGTAGAGTAGTTGAAGTTAAAATACATAAAACACACAAATATTTACAATATGTTAAAATTTACAAATACAAACAGGCCTGTCGCTCAAACAGTAATGGTTGACATTTTACATTCCGTACATTTGCCTGTTCGTTTTTGTAAATTTTATTCCTCTTGTAAATATTTGTGTGTGTATTACATATTTTAACTTCAACCGAGATTTGTGTCTACTCTGACGATGACATTGGGATGCCGAAACGGTCGTAACCAACAGTTACAACATTTGAACTGCTTGACGAAGGTAAAACCAACATTTTAGTTAAATTACAGCTCAGGGGCTGAAAACATGAATTTTAATAATAAAATATGTCATTGGCATACAGACAAGACCAATAAGCTAAACCAAAATATTACTGAGGTAATTGATTATAAACACATTTTGGTGTTTTCACCCAGCTTCAGACAGATAATCTCAGTAGTTTTTACGCTGTATTTTTTTTTTGTGTGTTAAGCTACCAGCAAGATGAGACTTGCCTCTAGATGAGTGATTGTTCAAGCTGTTTATGGTATCATTGTTTTAATCATTGCTAATAAGTTTGGTATGTTTCAGCTTCTGCGACATAGGAGGAGTGTTCTGCAAGATAGTGCAGTAAAGACATGTTACTTTCTTTAGTGTTCATTTCCTTTGTGTATAGTTTTGTACTTATAACCTTTGTACTGTATTAAAGTATTTAAATTAGTTATTTCAAACCGTGCTGATCTCTTTTTGATAGTTATTAGAAAACATGTGTTTAAGCATCTTATGCACCTTTTAACATTTTAGTAAAGTTAAAAAAATAATATATTAATTTTGTTTTAAAAATAAACTTTTGAATAAACTGTTTTTTTTCTTTGCCATGGATCTTGTTAACATCTAAGCTACACTCTGCAACAAGTGCAACCATGGTAGGTAACAGCAGCTCAAGATAAGTAGTTATCTAAACTGCATTCATCTGTCACAATTAGTGACAGTTTCAAACAGGGGTGCCCATCCCCCCCAAAGCTCACGTCGCAGAATCCCCCCCAAATTCGTTGTTTAACCCATGCTGGAAGGTCTGGGGGCTAACCCATAGTTATGTTTATAATGCGGGGAGGGAAGGGGTGCCCTCGACACTTCTTTAAATTTATGGGAATTTAAGCGTTTGAATCAAACTTTTAACCCAATTTAAATGGACAATTTTGCTTTAAAACTCTAGTAGCAAACTATTTATTAGTTTAGTTTTAATTTAAATGAGTTGGATTTTTAACATGCACACAATTTGAATCAAAATTGGCCATGTAGTTTTTTTAAATCCGATTTTCCATGAATTAATAGGTTTTAAAAGGGAAAATCACAAAAGATGCAATACTTTTGAACCATAATTTTTACGGCATAGAGGGCTTATACATTTTTTGTCATTGTCAAAGAGTATAACATGTTAATTTTTAATCAAAATCGTTCGGGCCAATTCTGAGAAAATTTTATTCATCCATTATTTTATAGGGTTTTATGGAATATCACTATTAAAAATCCAAAATGAAAAAAACAAACATCTGGAGAGACCATGGATTGGTACCTAAAATACCAAATTTCATCAAAATCGGACTCGGACCACAGGTGTGGTCTGTAGCTCTGTACCATACATACACACATACACACACACAGACAGACAAACACATCACTTCTAAAACCACTTTTTTGGGATCAGGGTTTTTACATAAACAGTTATTTTACCATATTAAATTGTAGGGAGAAAGTACTTAAAGTTACGTCAAAAAGTTTGGGATATTTTCTAAATTGTCCTTTAATCCACTTCTGAGTTTGGTCCTTTTTAAATAAGTGTAAAATTTTCAGTCTCAAAAATATTACTAGGCCTAAACTTAATAGTATATTTCGTGCCTAGGGCCAAAAATGAGGTTTTGCTGGTTCAAGATAGTTTTTTAAGTTCGATACGGTTCGATACGAAGTCGAGGACTTAAAACTATCGAGAACTGCAAAACCATTTCAGTCCGTGGTACGAACGCTATTATTCACCACACTATACCCTATTACCACTAATTCACCTCAATGATAATGCACTGCACACTGATATAGTCAACACAACTACAACTTTAACGTCATGGGGATAAATAATTTGAGGAATCAGCAAATATAATAATAAATAGTTGCTAGGCAGCGGTGACAATAAAACAACTCTATTGCAATGCTATGGATACTGATTGTGTATTTAATATGCATTCATGTTTTAAGAAAGTAAGCGGGCAGCTGATTTTGCGGCCCTAGGGATGTAAAAACCTGCTCGATCCCCGAATAACGATGACAGCTGGCATGGCCTGCAAAACGCAACTTTCAGCCACCAATTAATGTACCTATATGTAAAACAGTTTATAACATCATAGTGTGGTAAAAGAGTATATTACGTTACTAGTCCTGAATCCCGTGCGAGACGAAGTCGAGTAGTGGTTTTTTTATACGAGTCCGGCCAACACATGTTGGACGAGTGACGTACGATAGTTTACGCCATACTACTAAATCCGTTCAAATCCCTATATATTACCACCAACTGAAGGACTAAAATCACTAGTCATAACCTCTAAGAGAGGTTATGTTTTTTTAATAACCACTCATTGCCACCCAAATACAGTATAATCAGCTGATTGGTGTCCGGCAAAATTATTACAGTACAGTAGTACTGTATGAAAGGAATGGGCACACGGAAGGGACTAAGGCTAAAGGTGTAGTGACGTCATATCTCTAGTGGCTAATGTCTTCTCTTGAGGCAACACGATTACCGTAACGAAACGACGTGATTTCAACGGCGTTCGTGGCATAGTTGGTAGCGATTCGGGTTGGTGTTCAGGAGGTCCCGGGTTCGAATCCCGCTGGCAGCATTAACATTTTGTCAAACAAATTTTCATATCAGCAAGTTTGGTTGGTTAGGTTAGGTTATGACAGTTTAATTTTATAATACTAAATTTTAAAATTAATTATAAGTATTAATTAGAATTTTATCTTATATAGTTTTTTTTTAATATCAGCAAGTCTGGTTGGTTAGGTTATGTTATGACAGTTTAATTTTAAAATTAAAAATTCATTTTATAATTTTAAAACAATATTTTATAATTTAAAAGTTAATTTTATAACTAAAAATAAATAAATAATTTAAATTTTTTCAACTTAGCAGTTCTAGCGGCGAACGCTGAAACTACAAGATATGTTAGCCTTAGTCCCTCCCGTGTGCCCCACCGCTGTATGAAACCCCATTTGATTAAGCTGGTGACAAACAGCTGTTTTCTGGACTAAATCCTTGCATGTGAACTTCGTCAAAATAGTGTAGCGTGGCGTAAAAAATAATTATATATCTATTCTAAGACTAGTAAAATTTGTTTGAAGCTCTTTCTAGATTCAAGAAAAGACAATAACAAATACAATTTAATTAAATCAGAATCATGTGTTTCAATTCTTGAAGTTAACGTAAATACATAGTCTATCAAAAACCTTAATTAAATTGTCACAGTACTGTATGTCAATTTCTTCCAATGAATAAATGACCCAGGCATAATTATTTGGGATAGCCAAAATATTATCACAAGCTTTCATGTTGTTGTTCATGTTGTAAAAATAGCAAAATGATTAACATTATCATAATACTGTTTTTTTATGAATCAAGTATATATTATAATAAACAAACCTAAAAAACCATCAATAGGTCATCAAGGCAATGAGACTATTTGAGAATGAGTTCATAATTAAAGGTAAAATCAAACTCAAATTGCAGATACGATTTAATAAGCCAACCATAATCCTTTGACAGCAGTTGGCATGGAGTTGTTCTCACTGTCAAACATGATACGAGTCAGAAAGTGGAAATCCACATAAAAGTATCTATATATTTTATAGCAATTATAAAATGATTTATTAATCAAGATAAAATGTCAAACGGGATTTTGATTGCATAATTACCCCAGTAATAAATTAAGGAGGTCATCAAAATTATCTGGTTAATCTTTGATGTGCTTTTAACCAACCACTGGCTTGAATCCCCCCCAAAATCATAAAATCCCCCCCAAATAAATTTCTGATGTCGCATTTTGCGACATCAAACCCCCCTGTGGGCACCCCTGGTTTCAAAATGATTTTAGTCTTGCAACTTATTAGCTGGTGCATTTTACATGGAAGAAGACAAGAAAGAGGTATTATGTTTTTGGTTCTGGAAGTAGAATGATTAGAACACTTGTTGATTTAAGAGTTTCTAGTCAAGAATGTGTTGTTCAGAAACAAGGCCGGATTTAGAAAACAAAGATCCTAACCCATTGGCGCCGACTTACAAGCGTTGTTCATCTGGCCGCCGCAGGCCCGAAATCCGACTTACAAGCCCAGGTAGTCTTTTAGCAAATTTCCCATATAGAGAATATTAGCGAATTTCCCATATAGGGAATAAGCTATTACCGTAGGTCTCATGGTAAGACCTGGATCCGGGACCGATTTACTTATTCGTTTTGAGGTCCCTAGAGGCCAAAAACACCATCCGTTCAAATTCATATATATATATGTGTATCCGTTAACACGATAACTCGAACAAAAATGATCCGATGTTGATGAAATTTGGTATAAAGATAAGTAAACCTACATTTATTCAAACGAGTTTGCGAACCAGCATGATTGAACCATGGGAACGGGGGTTTATGGGGGGTTTTATGGGGTAAATATGGATTTTCCCCATTTTTTACTGTAAAAACAAAACACATGTAGAGCTTAAAAAAAAGAAATAATTTAGTATATTGAAGCAACGTTGTATGCTTAATGGTTACGGAGAAAATTCAAAAAATAGTAAATTGAAAATTCCCATGTTATTCTTATGGAGAAAACGAAAACTGTTGTCGTTTACTTGTTTATGGATATATGTTGATAAAATTTGGCAAATTTATTTATTTCATGCTATACTATTGACGTTTGGTAAAAAACACTTTTTAACTTCCCTGTAGCAGCAAACCTAAGCATTCGTTAAATCTAATGTTATTTAAATTGGGAATATGTCCTATTTATGGAAATATTTTAGTAAAAATAAAAATATAATCAGACAAGTTGAAATTCACTTAGTCTGCAGGTTTGCTGCAGTGGGGGTATATTAGTTTCCTTGTAGCAGTAAACCTAGGTACTCATTAAACCTAATGTTATTTAAATAGATTTAATTGAAAATCAATTCAGATTCAGACAAATGGAAATTCACTTAGTCCCTTTGAGGTTGAATTTTTTCCCATTTTTCGGAGAGTATATTTTGCTATTCGAGCAGTCGGGAAAATGGCGCCCAGTGATCTATACTCGCCATTCAACCGCAAAAAAAACTTTTTTTATTTTTTTCCTTATAGTATGCCATTTTTGAGCAGTCGGCAAAATGGCGGGTGGCGACCTATACTCGCCATTCGGCCACAAAGTGTTTAAATACCTCGCTTCTTGTTTTGCGTATTTTTAATAATTTATTTTTGGAAATAACAAAGGTTGTGTTTCTTGGAAACGAGATATCACCCAAAATCTCTAGAAATTACAGATTTTTTTTATTTTTCCAATATGGCGGAGGGGGGAGAATTGTGCATTTTGCATTTTTAATACCTACTTACCATCCTAGACAACATACAACAAATTTATAACTACCGGACCGTATGTAAGTAAACCCCCCTATTTTTGTCTCTATTTACTGGACTATCTTCTATATCTATAAAAGAGGAACTATGTATGTATGTATGTTGTCATATCCTTTAGTCTATCTTGACTACATATGGTTTAGTTAATTTCAAATAAGGTCTAGACAGATTATTATTGTTTTCAATGTTTACATTTTACTTTTATATAGTTGATCATTACAATTTATATAAAGGAGTTTACACAATTTATCCAGTGTGAGTACTTATCAGCATTAACAATACCAGGCCACCCGTTTGAGTCACAACATATGTAGAGGTCGTACGGAACGAGGTGAAGCTTGGAGGGGAATAGTGGTGTGGCGGGGGAAGTTTCGCTATGCGAGGCGACGATCGGCTCGTCTCCTACCCCCATCATGGATTTCCCCGCTTTAGAACGTTCCCACCGAAAATCTCAGGCTTCACCTCTTTCCGCACGACCTCTATATATGTACCTTATTGACTCCGAAACCACTCGACAGATTGTAATGAAACTTTCAGGCATTATTTAGCATTATTCAAGGATGGTTTGTGGAAATTTGGTGTTGGTAAACCACCCTGTTGGCTTACCAATAGGGTGCAGCATTATTATTTTTTTTAAATATGTGACAACAGCTAATTTGCAACCAAAAGGTGAGTGAGCGTAGCGAACGAACTTCAACCTGGAGGCGAGTTAGCATAGCAAACTCGCTAAACCTGAAGGTGAGTAAGCGTAGCAAACTAACTTCAACCAGGACATGATTGAGCGATGCCCGATGCGAACAAGCTCATCTTGAAAATGAACGAGCATTTGACATAAAACCACATTAGGACAGGACAACGTCTGTCGGGCCAGCTAGTTACTTATAAAAGTAAACAACTGTCAATTTTCCTAAGTAGGGAATCAATTGAACTTTATGATAATAGTGTCATTTGATGTCTGGACTAATCTTGGAATTTGTAAATAAAGTTTACTTTAAAAAAACTATTTTTAAAATTTTTAAACTTTTATATTTAAATTTTTTAAATGTTACACTTTGATTATCCAATTAAAATTTTTTGGTAAACAATTTTATTTTGAAAAAAAAAATTGTAAAAGAATTATTTAATTATTACCTAAGGGTTTCTTTCTATAACACAATTGGAGTGAAAAATTCAGTAAAATTAATTGCTGACCAAGGGCACTGCATTAATTCCTTTCCCTATGGGTTAAGACGGAAGAAACATTCAATGGTACACTTAAGTGGTGTCTAGGCTTAAGTCCAAATCCGCCCCTCTCGCCCTCATGTACTACGACACGACACACACGGTGGAGGAAGACTTTGTGCCCTGTGCGATGGGAATTTCAGCACAGTGCTCTCCGCTCAGGCTCTTCCTTGTTAGTCACAAGTTTATTTGTGGCACAACATACTAGAGCTGAAAGTGCACGGTCATTCCATAAAAAAGTTTCCTATGTACCTTACTTCTCTATGTGCAACATGGAATACTTCCCAAAGAAAAGGGCATTCTGATTCTACAGTCCTATAGTCTCTATGGATTAGTAGCTCAAGTTAGTATTAAAAATTAACTAAATAGAGGGATAGAGACATTTTCCAGTTTTAGAGGTCAGGAAAGAGGATAATTAATCTACTATTATTGAAAATATGTATAATTGTGCTTACAAAATATATATAACCAATCGAACCTTAAATATTGCCACTTTATTCTGTTCTGTCAAGGGTATATCTTTTACGATCCTTGTTTAACAATTTCTTATTCCTTTTTTCAATATGTTTCTTCAATTTTCCAGTTTCTTTCAGTTCTTCATACCGCTCCACTAGATCCAACACTTTCCTTTCAGCTGTGAACAAATTCGGTGCAAATTAATTGTAACACAATGGATCCAATATTTGGGGTTATAGATCACAAATTTCATTGTTCAATAATCTTGGTTATACAAATTTTAGTATGATATCAGCAGTAATAAAATAATAGTATGATTTGACTGATATTTAGTTCATTCAATAAGTCATATTAAATTTCAGATTAAGTTTATTTCAAAATAATAAGACTTGAACAACAATGGTCGCCATTTCATTGAAAAGTAAAAAGTAAAGTATTAACATACATTTCTTGATAAACTGTGGTTTCTTTCCTTGGCGCAAACTTTGAATTTGTTCTTCTTTCTCCTGCTGAAGCTTTTCCTTCTTCTTCTGCTTGATTTTTTCTTCTCTTTCTTGGTTTTCCTAAATAGATTGTAACAGTTAATAATAAGTGTGTGTATCAGCCAATTTTATACTAACTTCCCGATGAGCTAGAGACTTGAAACTTGAAACATAGCTCACAAATGGATGACAATGCAATATTATATCATTTAATTTTCATATTTCCCTTGGGCTACGCCCCATGGGCTTGTTTTTATTAACTCACTTTCTTGCAAATTTTGATACTTCCCAATGAGCTAGAGACTTGAAACTTGAAACATAGCTCACAAATGGATGATAATGCAATATTATATCATTTAATTTTAATATTTCTCTTGGGCTTCGGCTTATGGGCTTGTTTTTTATACTCGCTTTCCTACAAATTTTGTTATCAATTTTAAACGAAGTTCCCGATGAGCTAGAGACTTGAAATTTGAAACATAAAAATCAAAAATCACGCCCCACGCGCTTCCAAGTTTTCCATGTTTACATTTTTATAGAATGTAAATATATCAATTAATTTAAGTCAGCTGTAAATACTTAAATTTGACAGTTCGAAGAGCTGAGCTTAAGAGGTACGGTCAGGTTATGCTCCCAAGAGATTCTTTATACAAACAAACATTCAAAATAAAGATAAACAATCTGATTGCTGATATAAGGGTGTTTGTTAATAATGTCAATTGTTATTTATGTAGTATTCTATAAAGTAAGCAATAAATTAAATAGATTGATATATTTATAGTTAGTAGGTAGGCCATACATTCAATCAAATACATAATTATATGAAAAGAAACTCAAATAAACCTTAGATTTCCCACACGCCTCTGTCTTAATCTGATACAGATGCTTGAAATAGATTTAACATCCACACAAATTAAAAACTAAAAAGTTATTTATAAATAAAAAACTTTTTTAAAACAAAACATTTTTAAACGCACTAAAAAGTAGAAAATAGTTTATAAATATGTGGAGAGTATAAATACTTGTAAGATTTAAAACTAAAAACGTGGGGTGCATGCAATTGATAATAATACAGTAGTTTAATAGGTGAAGGTAATTATAAATTATCTATTAGCTGTTCCTGATCATTGGGCTTTAAATAAATGATCCTGACTAATGAAACCGCTGATCTTAGTCAGTAATAAAGCTACACATGTCATAACACACCATTCTACACTCATCCTTCACTCATATTTGGGTTAAAATACGCACCTAGGTGGCGTCCCCATCTTAATGGTTGATAATTGATAAATTTCATGCACCCCTTGTTTTTCGTTTTAAATCTTACAAGTATTTATACTCTCCGCATATTTATAAATTATTTTCTACTTTTTAGTGCGTTTAAAAACGTTTTGTTTTAAAAAAGTTTCTTTTATTTATAAATTATTTTTAGTGATTCCTAGATATATTTTATCTTACAGTATTTGGAATAGAGTCTTAGTGTTCGGTTTTCTGTGAGGTCGTGTCATGTCAAACATGACATGCCAAGCAATGTAATGTTTGTTAATGAATTAAATAATATTGACAGGGGTATTTTTTTGTTTAAGAGCACTAAATACTGTACTTGTTTCATTACTTTACTATTTCAGGCTAGCTGCTAATAACTGAAAGTGTGTTATTGGTGTGACCATTACCATTTAAGTAATACAGTATAAAAAGTAGTGTCGTGTTGCCTTTGAAGGTATGTAATAATAGTAACTGCTCACTTAGTCAAACAAAGTTTCTATAACTAATAATTTCGATGTTAACATAGGATAGGCCTCTTAGTTACAAAATCACAATAGTTTATTAATAGTCCAGGCAAATTAGATCAAATATAGGGTGTGCTCCCCAAAAAATCGTCTAAAGCTGGAAAGTGTTTTAATCCCAAATAAGACTCCTGTGAGTTTGCGACGGATTCTGACGTCTGCTTAAGTTTTGGGAGTCGAAAAACTATGAAAATTTTGCACTTTTTTCAGTTTTTTGCTTATAACTCCTAAATAACGAATCCTAAGGAAAATGTTGTTCGAAGGTGTCTTTTAGTGCATTAAATTCCACGTCGATTGATGTTAAATACGTCAAAATCGGCTTAGCCATTTAGCCGCTGTAGCTTTTTAAAGTTGGGATATTTTCATCAACATGGCCAAAAGGTTGATTATTTGACCAGTTTTCGGCTTACAGCTCCTAAACGACGCATGCTATAAAAAAATGCACCTGTAGTTAGTTTGGAAAACACAAAATTCGGGGTAGAATTATGATTATGAATTACTAGATAGTGGTTTATTCCATGGTTATCATCCAGAGGTTTGAGGCTTACTTCTCAGGGGGCACAGCCCTAGGAATCAGAAGAAAATTGTTAACGTAAGCATAGGTCGATATGCACATCAAATTAAAGTTCTTCACTAGTAGATTACAATGCCATAAATTCAAGCTCAAAAGAACGCCTGAGTAAAAAATGGCAGTCGTTCAAAGATTCAAAATGGCGGATTCAAGAAATCTTTGAACGGCCGCCATTTTGCGCAGGATCAACCTTTTGAAGTGCCGTTTGCGGCATTGTATTCTACTAAAAAAGACCTTTCATTTTATGTTCATATTGACCTATGCTCCTATTTAAGATTTCCTTCTGACTCCTTGCGGGGACGTCCCTATGATATGACAGAAAATTCATAGTTCCTTGAAAAAATAGATTTTTAGGTGTGGTGTTGATGTACCAAATCTTATTGATTTATCTTTTGTCGTTTAGAAAATATTAAACCGGTCCGGGACTTTTGGGACAGTCTGTATATTAGAATCACTTAACACCATTTTGGAGTGTCCAGAGATGGGATCGTATAAATGGGAGGTTAGGACGAATCCTAGAATTTTTTTAACCCCAGATAACAATATTAGATTTAAAATTACATAGGGGGTCTTGTTACCCTTCTCTTCACACATTCTTGGATAAACCTCTGGATGATAACCATGGAATAAACCACTATCTAGTAATTCATAATCATAATTCTACGCCGAATTTTGTGTTTTCCAAACTAACTACAGGTGCATTTTTTTATAGCATGCGTCGTTTAGGAGCTGTAAGCCAAAAACTGGTCAAATAATCAACCTTTTGGCCATGTTGATGAAAATATCCCAACTTTGAAAAGCTACAGCGGCTAAACGGCTAAGCCGATTTTGACGTATTTATCATCAATCGACGCGGAATTTAATGCACTAAAAGACACCTTTGAACAACATTTTCCTTAGGATTCGTTATTTAGGAGTTACTAGCTGTGTACCCGTTCTACGCACGGGGATCTTATAGTATCAGTTGAAACCTTCTTATATAAAGAACAGTAGTTGGTTTGCAATTTTCAGATATGCTGGCCAAACTATTTATTATACATAACTTCATTTTATGTCGTTTGTTGTTGTTCCGTCCGGATCGGTATGACAATCAATAAAAGGCTAAATTTACTGTGTCCGCCGGTCGATCCTAATGTATCCTATTACAGGAGATGCATTTCGGCGAAATTAAATCGCCATCATCAGTCCTAATATAAGGTCTTGAGCTTCCCCATTAGGTGCATCTTAGAGTTTTTGAAACACATACACAAACTGTACACTTATACACATTACGAATAAAACATAAATACATGGTAGGCCTACTTTTATTTTTACTATGGACAAGTAGACGCGCGTCGGTCGTGTGCAGAGTCTTGACTGAAAAAGCTCATTAAAAAAATGTAGGTTTCCCAGTAATATACAACACTGATTCAAGGTCTATTTCCCGGTTATCAAAACTCAAGAACAATTTTATGCACAAAGAATCTCTATTTTCATTTACTGTTACCCTACAAATTATTGCACTTGCGATTAATTAAATCCGTTATGTAAGGAAAAACGTTTTCAATCTTAATTGGTTTGGATTTGCTTTCAAAACGTGATCGGAAATCGAAACGGCACACGGAAGATTTCTCAGGTGCCGTTTGACGTCACTAACTGCTGATGTCACTTTGAGGGAACACCAATACCGCAACGATACGGTATGAGCCATCGGCCTCGGTGGTGTAGTGGATAGCGTGTTGGGCTGATAATCTTATTGTACCGGGTTCGAATCCCGCTGGTAGCATTGACTTTTTGACAACAATTTTTTCATATCAGCAAGTTTGGTTAGTTTGGTTAGGTTATGACAGTTTAATTTTATAATTAAAAAATTATAAAATTCAATTTTAGGCATTTATAATTTCATTTTATGAACAAAACTATTTTTTAGATTAGTAAACCTTTATTCGATTTTTCCATTATCGGCACGTTTGGTTAGTTTGGTTAGGTTATGACAGTTTAATTTAATAATAGAAAAATTATAAAATTGTCTGTTTCTTCAGACGCAGCAGTTAGTGACGTCAGCAGTTAGTGACGTCAAACGGTACCTGAGAAATCTTCCGTGTGCCCCACCGATCGGAAATGGTTGCGGTATTTGTAAACAACATTCAATGTAAACATATCAGTGACAGCTAGAAGAAATAATCTTGATTTGAACAGCTGTTCGTTATTTCATAGAAGAATATGTGCTAAACATTGGGAGAAAACTTTATAAAAATCGCACAAAATTGGGTTTTTAAACGTCCGTCATTTTATTTACAAAGTGGTGACGCCATATTTTAATGGCTAAAGACAATCTCGCCAATCCAGAGAATGCATTAAAATGATTTGGAACTTGATAGGTACTCTCGTTTTTCAGGAGTAGGCCGCGTAAAATGGCTCTTGGGTCGTAACAGACAGGAAGACAGACAGAAATTTAGATGAGACTTGTTTCGGTTTCTCTAATGTATAACACGTAAAAATAACCTAAAAGTTTATGATTCTGAGCAATGTACAGACAAAACTCTAATTTTATTTATATAGATAAGCAAAAAACTGAAAAAAGTGCAAAATTTTCATAGTTTTTCGACTCCCAAAACTTAAGCAGACGTCAGAATCCGTCGCAAACTCACAGGAGTCTTATTTGGGACCCCCAAAAGGTATTAAAACACTTTCCAGCTTTAGACGATTTTTTGGGGAGCATATGTCTAATTTGCCTGGGCTATAAATACAACATGAATCAGAAGTACAGTAACCAAATAAATGTGAACAGTTTCTTCTAAAATACTATTAAATGGGCAAAGCACACTGTTTATGGATCAAATTGATTAAAAAGTCTAATGTATCTCAGGGTTGGTTGTAGGGAAAGTGTGGTGAGGCTTGAGGTGTGTAGAAACAGAAAGGTTAGCTCTTAGGAGGTTAAGTTATTTCTAGTTCTTAAACCTTGATGTCCACAATAGACTAGACTAGGCTCAGATGAATTCCCATTCTCTAAAAAAAGCAAAGAAGGCGAATGAGAGCCAGCGCCTTCCTCTTCAGAGTGTAGAACAAGTGAAATTATACTATATTCCTAATAATTATTTTATTTAAATTATGCATTTATATTTTTGAGATAATGTATTCCTTTTATTTATTTTGTAAACCATGTCAATAATGTTTATAAAATTATTAAGTTAGTATCGACACCAATAATGTAGTAAGTAATAAAGTACTTTTTTGTTTACTATTAGTGAACCTTTTGAATCTTATTTTTTATACTAAGCCATGAAAAGTAACTGTAAGTTTTTCTTATGATATGGTATAATATATTTAAAGGATATATTATACCATATCATAAGAAAAACTTACAGTTACTTTTCATGGCTTAGTATGGTCTTAAAACATTTAAATCATTTATGTATACTTTTTCAATTGGTTGCATATTATAGTTCTTTTCTATTGTATTAAGTCTTAAAAACACTGCCAAAAATTATTCTAAACACTTTCTAAAATGTGAAGAAATATATATCTACAAACAAAGCACCCTCTAACAAAACCAGTAAATCCTTAAAATTGTCTTTTATAGATCTATAAAGACTAAGTATGTCTAACTATGAAGGGGTAAAAATGAATGGCAGGGTTGTATGTAGGCATAATAATATTTTCTCTTTTGTAGAGAACCTTATTTTCTTCTGCATCCTCTTCCCATGGCGTAGCTCAGGTGAAGTAACTAGTATTTTATTAATCTAGAAGAATAAATTACTTACAATTCTCTGAATTAAATATTTTATTTCTTTTTTGCGCTCTTGATTTGGTGTTTTCTTCAACTCTTTATAAAGCTGTTGTTTTTCATTTTGTTTTATATCATTAATAAAACTGTAAGCGTTTTTGAAAGCCTGTAAAAGGAATAAAAATACATAATCAACACAAGAATATCAACAATATAATAATTGGTAATAATATGATAATAATAATATGATATGATGGTAATGATATACAGTATATATTCCCGATAACCCAAATTCGGTAATCCAAACTTCCGCTAAATCGAAGTCTAAAAAAAAAAATAGTTTTCTGTAATTTTTTTGGAACAGAAAAGAAAGGATATAAAAAAAACCCGTGAATAAAAGTTATACTATATGGAGAAAAGTCAGTGAATAAGTGAATTAAAGCATAGAGCCTACAAAAATTACACAGTAGCGTACTTTGCAAATACAGTACAGTAAAGACAGTGTTTGAAACATACATACAGTGTTGTATTGTAGTTCTTAAGTTGGTTTAAAAAAGTATGTTTCAATTTTTTTACAAAGATTAGAGGATCTCTCTTTAGAAGCATAATTACGCCAACGCCTCAGAAACAATGTATCCGCTGGGGTCAAGACGGACTGTTGTTCAACATAGTGTAGCGCTAGATCAAAGGCAGCCGCCACGTCGGAGTGTGATACTCTCTGCTGCTGCGCTTATTTCTTCTTTAGAAGTCAGACTTTTTTAGTCAACGCCTTAAAGTTAAGCCCGGTTTCATCAGCATTGTATATTTGCTACAGTGAATAGTTTCCTTCAGCAATCAGTTCAGCAAAAGTATCTGAAACGTATTCGGTTGCAGCAGCCTCATTGGACGATAGCCGTTCACCCGTAATGGCTAATTGTCGTATGCCGTGACGCTTCTTAAAACGATCAAGCCAGCCTGTGCTAGCAGGAAAAAGACTTGTCTCTGTTCAATAATTCGTTTAGCTGTAGAGCTTTTTCTTTGATCAAGGGTCCACTAATCAGGGTACCTTATTCTCTCTCTTGAGAAAACCAAACAAACAAAGCACTGTCGAGGTTCTCCAGTGGTATGGTTTTTGTTGTATGACGGGATTTAGTACACTTACTTGTTGGAGCAATACTAAACTGTTCTGTTTTTAACCTGTTTTTCTTCAAGTCGATAATGGTCATTCCTACTCCAAACTCAACAGCCAATTTTGACACACTTTCACCATTGTCTACTCCTTTTAACACTTCAAGTTGTCTTGTAATGTAACCGAAGTGCGTTTACATTTTGAAGCCATTTCACCACATTCACAACCTCAAAAGATAACAGAACAAAGTTATAAACATTTCTGAACACCAGGTTTGTTTACTTTATAAATTATTATCTGAACATCAGAATTGCTAACCTAAAGAACAAAATTGCAGTACAGTAAAACCAATACAGTTTATCGTAAAAACAACAAATGACCCAGTATGTGCTGCCACCTATCGGGGAAAGTTGAAACTACTAGCACCGTCTCATGACGACATTAATAAGGTTTTTTATAGACACAAAAAGTGACCCACTAAGTGCTGTCACCTAAAAGCCGAAACTGCTAGCACTTTTGTGTTACGACAGTTAGTTGTACCCCGTTGAAGTATTCTGTAACGTCCGAGTGGCCGGGCGAGATGAATAAGATAGATGGATGGATTAGATTTGTTGTAGTAGGCTAATGGGCCAACTAAAACGTTGTATTTCATAATTAAGTGTATTTAGTAAACATTTAGCTTAATCCAAAATATTGATTCAGTAATACAAAATGGGTCCAGTCCCAAACATTTCGGACTATCGGGACTCTACTCTGTAATTATAAATAAGTCGATGGATTCATACTAAATAACTTAAAATACGCTGAGAAACATATGTATTTTCATTTAATTAGTTTTATCACAGAGAAGTGAGATACAGAGGATGGTTAATGGGATGACTATGCGCTTTTTAGAGCTACTGTAGTATGTTGTGTGTGCAAACGTAAGCAAAAAGGGTGATATGCTTGTGTAAAGCAAGGAAGAGCCTGAGCAGCGAGCACTGTGAGGAAGTTCCTGTAGCACAGAGCAACAGGGCCTTCCTTCAGCAAGAGTGTTGTAGTACAAGATGGTGAGGGGTGAAAGGAGTGTGAGGGGGTTAGGTAAAAGTGAATAGTGCTAAAAACCACTGAAGTGTACCATCGAACGTTTACTCTATCCCTTACTCCTCTATGGTTTTACAGTATATTTGATCCAAATAGAGTTTTATGATGCCGACATACCAGCCATGAGCTTTAAGGTGAACATAAGTGAACAATAAATGTAAAGGATTATGTTTGAATTCAGATTAATATTACCTGGTTCTTTAGCCAGGACGAGTGATTATAAAAGCCCCATTACATTACTCAACTTAGTACATTACCTCTTCATTGAATGTGCCACAAGAACTATCAAATCTTGGATCACAAACAGTGTTTTTCTTAATCGGTACAACTTCTCGCAACGGAGGAACTTTTTTTTTTGATGATTCTTCTCTTGGTCTGTAAACAACAATCAGTGTTTTAATTTAAGTTCACATACACAATGAGATGTGCCTCTTTATATTGAGAGAGTAGACAATTTTACTACTGAAATAGGCCTACATACACTGTTATAGATTTGTTGCAAATAACTTTTTCTTTAGTATGGCAGTAAGCAACATGTTTAGCCTTCTTTAAAGTAAAATGCTCAAGGAATGCAAAATTATCAAATATTTATTGTTCTTGACAATTTTTACATTGTGTAGCATACTTATTCTAATATTTACATTGAAATAGGTTACATAGACTTTTTAGCGAATTTCCCTATAGGGAAGTAGCTATTACCGTAGGTCTCATGGTAAGACTTAGGCCCGGGACCGATTTACTTTTTCATTTTAATGTCCCCAGAGGCCAAAAACACCATTCGTTCAAATTTTTATATATGTATATATATATATATATATATATAGGTATATATATAGATTTATATATATATGTGTCCGTGAACACGATAACTTGAGTAATTTTTATCCGATTTTGATGAAATTTGGTTTGAAGGTGTAAGGCGGGATAAACTTGAATGAGTTCGCGATCCAGCATGATCGGACCATGGGAACAGGGTTTTATAGGGGTTTTTATGGGGTAAAAATGGGTTTTTCTCACTTTTTACCCTCAAAACACAAAATTTCCCAATTTTTCTCTAAACCTTCTTAAAGAGCTTAAAAAAACAAACAATTCAGTATATCAAAGTGTTTTTGTACGGTTATTGGTTACGGAGAAAACTAAAAAAATGGTAAATTTAAAATTCCCATGTTATTCTTATGGAGAATATTGTAAAATGTTGAAGTTTGCTTGTTTATGGATATATTTTGATCAAAGTTGGCAAATTTATTTATTTTATAGTAAGCTATCAATATTTTACTAAAAACACACTACTTTATTAGTTTCCTTGTAGCAGCAAACCTAGGTACTCGTTAAACCTAATAATGTTATTTAAATAGATCAATTGAAAATCAATTCGGACAAATGGAAATTCGCTTAGACGGCAGGTTTGCTGCGGCGGGGGTATTTTTATATATATTTCTTATCTCCAAGATCCAGATTGTCTTTTACCATTAAATGTTATGAACCGATTACAAACTTTTAGGCTCATACAGGAGTCAAAATATCTGGCACACTATCTTGTAATATGAGGTGCTTTGGTACTTGGCAGGACTAGGGCACTCTTCTCTACTTTTCCAGAGGAAATTTGGAATTAAGGAATATTGAGCTTTTGGTGGTCTCAAAATTCTAAGATAATTTATAATGCTTAATTTGCCTCAGAAAATAGATAACTTCCTTGTAAAAGTTAGTAATTGTATAGTATTCTTGTATAGATTTTCTATGTCGAGTTTTCTTTTTTATGTCAAACATTTTTAAATGATGTAATTTTTATTGCTTTTAGCCAATGTTAATGAAATTAACTTAGGACTTGTACAAAACATTGTTGGTCAGCTACAACTGTACAGCTTAAAAGGCTGTGAACTTTAATATTCCCTTTAAGATTTTATTTATACTATGAGCCTTTGTAGAACAGTTTTTTTTTTTTACTTAAAATACATTAGGAAATATATTCAACTGCGTTTTCTTACTTTCATTCTAATTTAATTAGATGGATAAAACACAAACTTACCAGAGAGTGTATTAAGGTGCAAAGAGGAGTGAAGGATAAACTTTGAATAATTTGGACATGATAGCCTTAATCATAATAGTTACTAAAAGCCCACAGTTTTACGACAGTTTGGTCCACTTTTAATCCATCAAAACATTACTAACTTTTATCAGGATCGAACCAGCAACTTTCTTTTAGGCGTGCAAAACAGTTATTCAGCTACCCAGTTCAATAATTCAGGGCTGTGAGGATCAAGAAATTTTGGGTTGAATCCCAATCTTTTCTTCACAGCTGTTATCGAATCCAAATTTTTAAATTAGTCTGGAGTTGAATCAAGGTCAATCCGAATCTCAAATTTACATCTGTTATCGAATCCGAATTGAATACAGTGCATCATTAGAACTATAACTAGAATAATACTGTAGAAGTAACAGGAGTAGGAGTAAATTGACCTTCGTCAAGGGAGAGTGCCGGGGGGGGGGGCCTGGAATGGTATCGAAAAAGAAGGGGGGTCCGGAGATCCCCCCATGGGGAAATAAAAAAAAATTAACTTCTCTAAACACTATTTTTCATTTAGAAAGTGAACAAGCAATTTATTCTATTTAAGTAACCATGATTTAAACTTTCCTCAACTCAATGTTGAACTTTCCTCAATGTGATAATGTTAAAATTATTGGGTATATACCTGGATTCTGGATTCTAAATTAGGCTAGAGTGTGCACATTGACCATGTGGCTCTCAAGAGTTATTTACTTACTCTGCAAGCTTAAAAATACATCCCTAGACTCTACCCACGGATGGCCTACTTTGCCTTCTTTAATAGTATTTAAGCTATGGTATTTTACTGTGGGGCTGTGGTCATGATGTTAGTAGAATCTTGCTCCTACAAGAGAAGGCTTTAAGAATCATTACATTTTCTAAGTAATGATTCTTAAATGCTTTTTCCTAAAATCATAACCTTAAAATGACCTTTTTTTAATTTGTTGCAATAAATTCTTGATTCTTGAAATAAAATTGTATGAATTTTTTTCTATTTTAAAATTTAAGTTTTAGCGAATTTCCCATATAGGGAATAAGCTATTACCGTAGTACTCATGGTAAGACCTCGACACGGGACCAATTTTTTTTTCGTTTTGAGGTCCCTAGAGGCTAAAAACACCATCCGTTCAAATTCATATATATATATATATGTGTGTGTCCGTTAGCGCGATAACTCGAGCAAAAATGATCCGATTTTAATGAAATTTGGTACAAATGTGTAAACCTACATTTATTCGCACGAGTTCGCGATCCAGCATAATCGGACCATGGGAACAGGGGTTTATGGGGGGTTTTATGGGGTAAAAATTGGTTTTTCCCATTTTTGACCCTAAAAACATAAAATTTTAGAATTTCTTTCCCAATCTTTTTGTAGAGCTTAAAAAAAGAAATAATTTAGTATATTGAAGCATTGTTGTATGCCTAACGGTCACGGAGAAAATTCAAAAAAATGCAAATTTAAAATTTCCATGTTATTCTTACGGAGAAAATGAAAAAAAAAAAAAAAACTGTTGTATTTTACTTGTTTATGGATATATGTTGATCAAATTTGGCAAACTTATTTATTTGATCCTATACTATTGACGTTTGGTCATAAAACACTGTTTACCTTCCCCGTAGCAGCAAACCTAAGCACTCGTTATAGCCTATCTAATGTTATTTAAATTGGAATAAATATTTCTTATTTATGGAAGTATTTTAATAAATATGTAATCAGACAAGTTGAAATTCGCTTAGTCTGCAGGTTTGCTGCGGCGGGGGTATTTTGTTTTAATTGTGGGTGGACTAGTTTTTTTAAAAAACAATTATTTACAAATTACATAGGCTCTTTCGTTTTATGATCAAATTTAACCTTACGTTTTTCAATCCTGGAACATTGGATGTTTTTATGAAAATGTTAACATAAAAACTTCTATTCTAAAAATGTTATTTCAAAGGCACGTAATTAAATCTCGTAACTTAATTTTTGCATTATCATGGCTGCTAACATCTAAAAATATTAGATACCTTAAACTATAGAAGATGTGCTCTGAAATGTACGTATTAGGCATTAGATAATAGTTTCTGATTGATGATTAGCTCAGTGGTTTCATCCTACTTTTCTCTCGCTGACTACAAGATTTGGGGAAGGAGTTGGTTGGAAAAAATGGAAACAATCCAAATATCAGAACATTCCTCAAGTTTTGTGGTCGTTGCTAAACCTAATCACCTAAAATTTATCTAAACTACACTTTTATGATTATTATGAATTATTGGTTTGTGTATTTAATTTTTTGTGTGTTATTTCTGTCACTACGCTAAATATTTATAAAAATAGCTAACACTGTATTTGCATAGTGATTGTTTAAAAATGAAGTATAAGAAGTTTAATTGAACCCATAAAACCCTAAATTACATTCAGTGAAAGTTGATTTGTAACATATTGACAAACTCACGCACATAACCAACACCAGACGGCTCATGGCTGAAACTGTGTGATGATGTTCAGATCAAGCGTAATGTGGGTGAAGGGGTAGTAGAAGAAGGAGGGGTTTTCAGGCTGATGACTGTTCGGTGACTCAAGTGCTTATGGCGCGCAAAGACCGTACCATTGCCAGTTTATCTGGTACCAGTTATCGATATTGAAAAATCTACTGAAGGAAAATAAATATTGCTGGGTCAGCCGTCAGTTGGTGCTTTAGTGCTTCATTTATAATCATTGAATGCTGGACCAATAATTCCAATCAAAATCAGATTATGAAAATGTTATTCAATCCAAACCAGGATCTCTTTCCGATAAATTTGAATATCGATTCTGAATCCAAATACAGTTAGAAACAGTAGATTCATTCTCAAATCTGAATCAATCCTCTACAAATATTCGGATTCGATCTGTTTTTTTTTTTTTTTTTTTTTTACTATTTGCAGAGCTCTGAAATAATTGTATTCAAAGCAGACATTAAACAACTAAAACAATCACAAATTTAGGCATAAAAGCACATAGAGAGGAAGAACAAAGATATATAATACCGGTTTTTATTGGCTCTCTTAAACTCTGAACTTGTCTTTTCTTTCTTAACTCCAAAAATTGTCTGATTGTACACTTTGGTGCCTAATTTCTCTTTAAGTTTTTGAAGATCTTCAAAGCTTAAGCTTGAGAGTTCTTCTCGAATTTTGACCTGTAAAAAACACAAAAAAGAATGACTTATTGTTATTACAAGAATAAAAAAAGCTTATTCTCTATATGAGAAATTCACTAATACCCCCCCACAGAAAACCTGCAGACTAAGCGAATTTCTATTTGTCTGAATTGATTTTAAAATAAATCTATTTAAACAACATTAGGTTTAACAAGTACCTAGGTTTGCTGCTACAAGGGACAAGGAAGTGTGATTTTTAGTAAAATATTAATCGCTTAGTATAAAATAAATAAATTTGCCAAGTTTGATAAAAATACAGGGTGAGTCACTACTGAATGCATTAATGAATGCACAGCTTATTCTAATCATCAAACGGAACCAGAAAATGTATATAAACCCTGGTCTGATCTTTACCGTTTAGCTGTTATGGCTTCATTTGTGATTTTTTCAAATAACAGGACTTTTCACTGTTAATTTGACGTTATCAGCCAAACCCACGTTTGAAATTTATTAAAACTGGTATCATTTGAAAGAGGGTTAAATTTACTGCAAATTAAACACAATACCAAAGTAACAACTCTTCATACAATGGTTTGCAAATAGCTTCAAATGCAAAATTGATTTTTATTAAAAATTCTGTATAAATTTTATAGCTAAAGAAAGTCAGTAAAATGTTTGATATTCTAATATTCAACTAACTAAAAAACTTCCTTATTTATCTAGCTTTAAAATGGTATATTAACATTAGGGGGTTATGTGGGTAAAAAATGCAGCTTTTCGTTAAAAACGTGAGGAAGGCGCAGCATTTGGATTCATGGCGTTAATGCTAAATTACCAAACAAATAACTGTATACCTTTAATTTCATTATTAAATAAATCAGTTTACCTAATCTGATGATTGATAATTAGAAATGTAGCAATTATAAACTTATCCCTAGCTAAAACAAACAAAATATTCAAATGGGTTCTATTTTAACATATTAATAAAATCTGAAAAACCCTCATTAGGTACATTAAGAAAAATATGGTAACATGGCTCTTAGTCGTCCTTATATTTCAAAAGAAGATTTTCCGAATTCCCACCATTTGCCCAAGTAAAGAAAGTAAACAGAAATAATTTTCAATTATATTGTGGGTTACCAAAAAATTTATTATCGACATTGAAAACTCATAAGAGAAGTAATTTGGGTCACACAATTCACCAAAAGTAATGTAGGTCACACATCAGATCCTCAGATTTTGTGACCCAAATTACGGTGACCGACATTAGCATTTTCACTCTCGTCATTGCGTTAATGGCGTTATCATGGCGTTAATGCTAAAATACAGATTTTTAAAATTATAATGCTACAGAGAACTGCCGTGAACGCAGTCGCTGATATTCAAACAGAAGGCTTCCGTTTGGGGTGTCCCAATCATCATAGGTCAGTAGTCTACATCCTTACATTTTTTTTTAGTGCAGGCTCTAGAACTAAAATAGCCTCCTCTAAGATTTAAATTTAACCATCAGATACATCAGTTAGATCATCATGATTTCCTCAACTCGATGATGGAGAGAAATACTACTTTTAGGGACTGAACAATCAACATCTACCCAAAGGATAGTTTCCAACATTCACAACAAGCATTACTATGCTTCCGAAAATCTTCATGAGTCTTTCTGTCAAGTAGGATTTTAAGTGAATTTCTGCATTGGACTCATTAGGAATGTTTTTTTTACACTTTTTAATTAAATGGCGACCATACAAAGTAGGTATTTTAAGCCAAGTGTTAATGGAGATGAGTGTAGGATGAGTGGCGCGATCTTGTAGTCTTGTTAGAAACAGGCTTATTGGACATTATCTTAACCTAAAATTCCTTAAATGGCATCCAGTACTTGGAATTCCTGACAGACTTGTTACCATTGCTCCTTGAAGGCTTGCCGTTGCAGTTGTGTCAGCGTACCGTCTTCAACGCACCCCCACACTACAATGTCGAGGTCCGAAATCATATTAATGATGTTATAATAAAGGATAACACAAGTTTTGTTTAATAGATGGAAGTTCCCCATTTATGTGTTTACTGTGTAATGTCAGTCAAGTTACCTGCATTACTTGTAATTTGGGTCACTTTTGAAATGGTGGGTCACAAGATGTTTGTTGGCATATAAATAAAATCGCTAACTTTAATGGTAGGGCCTAATTTTTAAGTTAAAAATTATACTTTAAAGTAGGCCTATATTTTTTAAAGAAAAAAATATTGCAGCCTATAATTTGTATTGTGAGTTAGATAAAGAATATAGAAGGATCCTGAAATCATTACCGCAATTTTTTTAGAGTTTTATTTGGGTTTTTTTACACCTTGTATATTTATAGAAACCACATTTCTCACAATTTGGTATTATTGGGTACCTATCTAAAAAGCTATTGGAGTCATCATTTGCATAATTCATTGTAGATATCCATGTCAAAACTTAGGATTATTTTTGTGACCCAGATTACACAAAATCCAGAGGTCTCTTCTCTTCTAGCAATGATAAAGGTTATTAATCAATTTTAGAGACAATAAGATCAGTTTTATGAACTACAAAGGCTAACAATTAGAAAAAAATAGACTTAGTTACTATTGGTGAGTATTAATTTTCTCAGATATAGGGGACAGCAATTGTCCTGTTTTCAAGCTTTTACCCAAAGACACCCTTCAGACAGATAATACTTTGATAATTGGGAATAACAACGGCAAGACTGTTAATCCAAAGCCAAGTAAAGACCAACCATCCCTTTCTGCCAAATCTAGTACTTCTTCTAGTATACGACGGCTAATGGAAGTGGAGTTGAAGAGACTGGAAAAAAATCAGCAATTGGAAAGAGCCCAAGAAGAAAGATAAATGGAGCGACAGCGACAAGTTGAAGAAATGGAATGACAAATGGAAAAAATGAAGCATCAACGACAGATGGAAGCCAGAGAACTAGAGCGGCAAAAACATCTGAGTTACTGACGGCGAGAGCTGAGCATGAGTCTGCTTCAGTGTGTGGTAGTCAGCAGTCCAGCTGCCCTAGTAATCAATCTGAAAGCAAGGTAGGAGTTAGGCCTAGTATAAATCTCAATGTAAATCTCTGGATGTACATGATGATGTCAAAGAAACAATTGGAGAAATAGCAAATTGGTTTTTAAAAAATGGCTTACTTTTGAATGAAGATAAAACTAGTGTTTTAATTTTCAAATTGAGAAATTCAACCACTGGAACAGAAACTACTGCCTCGCCCACAAATGTAGTAAAGTTTTTAGGGATATATTTGGATAGTAAACTACAATGGACAGAACATATTAATTTTCTAAACAAAAAACTTAGTCCAACAAGATATGCTTTAAGTGTTTTAATTCAGGTTACCTCCTTGGAAGTATGTAAAAATGTTTATTATGCTTATGTGTACTCTATTTTAAGCTATGGTATTACATTATGGGGGACAGCCACAGATGTCCACAAAGTTTTTAAAAAACAAAAGTCAATAATCAGAACTCTTGCAAATTGCCCCAAAAAAACATCATGTAGACAATTGTTTCGAAATTTTAAAATTTTAACTCTAACTTCAATATACGTTTTTGAAATTTTAAAAATGGTTCATGGAAATCCTGGTATGTTTCAAAATTATCTTAGTAATCACTCATATAATACCCGAAGACAAGACATTTTTCAATACCCCACTCATAATTTAAAAAAAATATGAAACAAGTCCTCTCTATATGGGGTTAACAATTTACAATAAAATTCCAAACTCCTTAAAGCAATTAAACTTAGCAAAATTTACAGGCAAAATCAAAACAGTTTTAGTAGAAAAAGCATATTACACTCTTGAGGAATTTTTCAACGACTCCTGGTAACAGACACCCAATCTCTCATCAACCTCTCCTAACATTTAAACAGTTCCACCATGCTGTAGCTTTGTAGGGGTAACTTACTGGCTAAATCCTAGGTTTTTTATATACCTATTTAGATTTCCTTATTTATTAGAAACCTTGACAATGTACCTGTCTGTGTATTACATTTGTAATAACTTTAACAGATGTTATGTGCAATAAAGAATTGTCATTTGTCATTTGTCGTTTGTAAATTGTTGAAAAATGAGTCCGTGTCCATCACCGTCTCCACACCAACAAAATGGAAAAACAGTCCCCTCAAGCTGATAATGACAAAATACCCAAATCAAGTAAACACTAAAAGTCCTGATGAAGAGAAACAAGTTATTGATTATCACGTTGATGGTACGAAAATTTACCAGATTTTACTCAGAGTTTGTCCTGTCACTTTGTATGGTCTAAGTTGTCAGCTTGATACATTTGCATTATTGGATGATAGTTCAACCGCGTCACTGCTCGATTCCCGATCAGCGGAAAATCTCGGTGTTAAGCGAATGGTGTCTCATTTAATGATGGCTTGCTCCCGATCTTTTGAACCCTCTGCCAGCGGTACTTCTCAAATTAAGATTACAGAAATTTGCAATTGCGGGTGACATAAAATAAATGTTTCATTAACTGCGTATATCAGAAAAGAAGATGTTGATTCATAAAGGTTCTATGGAGAGAAGATCCGAACAACAAACCAGATACCTACAACATGGAAGCTATGCTATTTTGATCAACTTGTTCCCCCAGTACTGCCTTGTATGTAGTAAATAGCAACGCCAAGAGATTCCTACATTTACCCAGAAACAAGCAAAGCAATCCTCTCCAGTATTCATATGGACGATCTACTAGACCCTACTGACACAGAAGAAGAAGCTAGACTTAGAACACAACAGATAACCGAAATTCACAAGTCCGGAGGTTTTGAAATCTGTAACTGGTTGCCAAATTCAAAAGATATTTTACTTGAAACATCCAAAGAATTTGGATATTAATTTCAATTATTTTGATTTTGTTTACTTTTGTATTGTCTGAATTCCATTGCAAATCCAATCCTTTCTTTTGTAATAGTTGACATTATTTTCTACAGTTGGCTTTCTTTTAGTGTTGTTAGCACTGGACGGTACCAAATTTGTTAAATAACTTAAATGAAAGTATATAAAATATCATCATAAACTTTTTTGTACGAAGCTAAAGTAAGATGTAGTTAGTTTATTTTATGCATAAAGGATATAAAATTATTAACAGTGCAAAACTCACTTACCCGTTCTTCGTCCTCAGTTCTGTCATCCATTATTCAACACAAACCAACCAAATACAATGCAGTGAATTCTAAAGTTTGGATATCTAAGGACTCTACACAATTAGAGACCTTTAAATATGTATTTGCTTAAGTTAAAAGGGCTCTGGACCTGAAAAAAATATACATGGTTAAGTAATTAAAATTGGGTGATCCTAATGTTTTTTCAAATAGCATTAAATTCTATTAATGATTTTTTTAAATTGATGATAGGGTGTTCTATCCTCAGGAATGCAAGTAAGTCAAAGGAAAATCATAAAAGAGATAACTCTTGGGTAATGTCAAACACGTGGGTACCTAGTAAAAATAACCCCGCTGCAGCAGACCTGCAGACTAAGCAAATTTCCATTTACCTGGGATTTCTACTGAAATATACCCTGAAAATTGTCAGATTTATTTCCTACTAGCAGAGTATCCGTCCTTCGTACGGGGTTGGTATATAAGTATAAAATGCTTATAGCAGTTATACTCAAGCTGTGTGTTTACAATGGGGGTGGACACAGTTTGATAAAGTTTGGTTCTTTAAATTTACAGTATGCTATAGTAAATAGTATAACACATCTACCATAGCTGTAATCCTATACCACTGCACCTAAACAATAGAAGAAAATTAATTATCAAACATTCGCACAATATCACAAATGACTAATTAAATTAAAAACATAACTGCATGTAAACAATCTTACTCCGACAGTTCTCATAATGTGTCACAGCTTTTAGTTGCTGCTTAGTTCAAATTATCTGTTGTCATAAATGCAAAAAGATAATAGTGCTGCACCCTGTTCGTAAACGTTATAACCTTATAATGCTATTGATATCATAGAACCAACTTGTTTAGTTGAAACAGCTGACTAAATTCTTTAATTCCTTTTAAATATGAATACTCATGAGGTTAACATGGGGAACTACGGAGCCACTGGGGTAGAGCCCAAAAGGATTTTTGAGATAAGAATATGCCTATATGTTAATCGGGAATGTGAGCTATCATCATGCCAAATTTCAGCCCAATCTGTCCAGTAGTTAATGTGTGATTGAACTTCAAACAAACAAATACACAAACTTTCACATTTACATAATACCAGCAGAGTACCCGTCCTTCGTATGGGGTTGGCATATAAGTTTAAATTGCTTATTGCAGTTATACTCAAGCTTTGCGTTTGCAATGGGGGAGGACAAAGTTTGATAAAATTTGATTCTTTAAATTGACGGTATACTATGGTATTACACATCTACCATAGCCATAATGTTCTACCTCTTCACTTGAACAATAAAGAAAAATAAAGTATTACAAATTTAAAAAATCACAAATTATTCATGACATTAAAAACATAAACATAACTGTAAACAATCCTACTTTGACAGTTTTCATTGCGTATCACAGTTGTTTGTTGCTGCTTAGTTCAAATTAGCTGTTTACATAAATGCAAAAAAAATATAGTGCTGCACCCTGTTGGTAAATCTTATAACTTTTTAATGCTTTTGTATATCATAGAACCAACTTTTTTAGTTGAAACAGCAGACTAAATTCTTTAATTCCCTTTAAATATGAGTACTCATAAGGTGAACATGGGGAACTACAGAGCCACTGGGGCGGAGCCCGAAGGGATTTTTGAGATAAGAATATGCCTATATGTTAATCGGGAATGTGAGCTATCATCATGCCAAATTTCAGCCCAATCCATCCAGTGGTTTATACGTGATTGACCTTCAAACACACAAACTTTCACATTTATAATATTAGTAAGATTTAAAAAACATTAATTTTAATGAGTACTAGGTTTGCTGCTACAGGGAAGGTATTGAGGTGTGTTTTATTGACATATTGATAGCTTAGTATGAAATAAATATAATGGGAAAAAATTGATTAAAATATATTCATAAACAAGCAAACTACAACAGGTTATTTTTTTATTCACCATAAGAATAACATGGGAATTTAAAAATTTACATTTTTTTAAATCATCTCCATAACAGATACTTACTTACTTACTTGTAATACTTGTAGTTTCCGTCCGTAGTCCATGGCAGGAATTGGACAGGTCAATAGGTTAAGGTACACTAATAATAAAAAATAACTTATAGGCTACCGTTAATAAGAAAATCACATCCTAGGCCAGGCCAAAGGGATCTGTTTTGTGAAATTTAGATATCCTTCCACATCATAAAAGCCATTTTTGGTCAGGAAAGATTTGATTTCTGTTTTGAATTTTGAGATTTTTTGAATGTTTTGAAGTTGTTTTGGCAGTGCCTGAAAAAGTTTTAAACCGGAATAATGAGGTTTTTGTTCAAACAATTTTAGTCTGTGTTGTTGAGCATGGATTCCTTTGTTTCTAGTGTTGTATTTGTGATCTATGAAATGAGGTTGAATGTTTTGTGATTTTATGTATACTACTGCTTCGTAGATGACTATGCAAGGGACAGTCAAGAGTCCAAGCTGGATTAATGCATCTCTGCAGCTGGCATCTGGTGGCATGCTTAGGATGGTCCTTATTGCTTTTTTTTTGCCAGACAAAAACTGTTTCCAAATTCTTTTTGGTGGAAGAACCCCACAAAATGATAGAATATGAAATGTACTGCTCGAACAGTCCGTGATAGACGAGCCTGGACAGAGCATCACTGCCGTATGACCTCATCCTACGTAGAATGAATAATCCGAGCAAGCGACCTCTCTAATCCATAAATGTGCTCGCCCCATCCGAGTCTATCATCCAGCCTCACCCCTAAGAAATCAGCTGTTTTTGATTGTTCAATTTGATTCCCTCCTATAAATAGGTTTGGAGTCCTATTATTTTTGGAATTTTGCTTTTGTGCTGTTTGAAAACACAAATAGGCTAGTTCGTTTTTTGGGAATTTAAACTAAGTTTGTTTGCTTCAAAAAATTTAGAAAGATCTGAAATTTTTTCATTTGCTTCGCCCTTTAGAGTCTCAACATCCTTACCCTTCATGACCAATGTTGTATCATCGGCAAAGAGGTAGACATCAGACTCTGGAATCGCGTTGGTGATGTCATTAATGTAAACCAAGAATAGGAGAGGTCCTAAGACGGATCCTTGAGGAACTCCGCTTGTGATTTTTTGAGGAGTCGACATGACATTTTTAATTTTGATTTGATTTTCCTCTAATTTCAGTAATTTGGTATCGGTTTGTCATGTACGACTCAATCCATTTGAAAACAATTCCGGAAATGCCAATTGAAGCCAATTTTTCCAAAAGAATGATGATCGACACAGTCGAATGCTTTTGACAACTCGGCGAAGCAACCCACCACTGTCTCGCCAGCCTCAACCGCATCGATACAATCATTAACAAAATCAATGAGAGCCAATTTTGTAGATCTGTTTTTTTCTGAAACCATATTGTCTATTACAGACAATATTGTTTACTTCAATGAATTCAGTAAGTTGCTCCGAAACTACTTTTTCAATTAATTTTGAGACTGACGGAAGAAGCGAGACTGGACGATAGTTGCCCGGATCGGTTCTGTCCGCCTTTTTGAAAAGAGGTTTGACTTTAGCTATTTTGCATTTTTCAAGGAAAAATCCAATTTTTAAGGAAAAATTTATTATGTGAGTCAACGGCAGTAAAATCTCAGATTTGCAAAATTACAGTGTGTGCATGCTGATTTCATCGATTCCACTAGATTTTTTAGATTCCATTTTGGAGAGGATATCATCAAGTTTTTGAGGTGTGATCTTAGAAAAATCGGTCATTTTGCAGACTGTATTATCTTTGATAGGAAAACCTGAGACTTGGAAGCCTAGGTGGTTGCCATTTACAAGGTTTGATAGGTTTGCAAAATATGTGTTAAATGTTTCTGCGACTTGGCAAGGATCCTCTATGGTTCTGTCATTTATTTTCAAGCTTATATTGGTGCTATTATCTTTTTTCTGTGTTCTTAAGCTGTTAATCACATTCCAAGAGGCCTTTGATTTATTTATTGGGTTATGCTCTCTTGAGCCCAATTTAACTTTCCTATTTGGATTTTTTTCCCATAATTGTCTTTGAGTTCTATGTATTTCTTCTTATCATGGGCTGATTTTGTAAGCTTCCATATTGAGTATTGCTGGAACATATCCTCCTTCGACTTTTGAATGTCCGCTGTCATCCACTTGGACCTTTTCATATTTCCTGTTTTTATTTCATTTTTAACTAGTGGACAGCTAATATCAAAGTGATACTTTAACGTATCAATAAAGCTATTATACATCTCGTTGACATCATTTGCCAAGTACACAGAATTCCAGTTTTCATATTTAAGTCTAAATTTTAATTCTCTAAGATTTTCTGTAGTTATGTTTCTCTTTTCTATCGTTGTTTGATTTGAATAGTGTCTATTAGAATCATCTGAACATTTATTTTAATGGAAATGGCACGGTGATCAGAGATATGAGGTTCAATTGTTGAAGCATGCGATGGTCTAAAATTTGTGAGGAAATTGTCTATACAAGTGCTAGAGGTCTCTGTAATTCTAGTAGGCTCTGTTATATTTGGTCTCAAGTTAAAACTTTCTATTTCATTAAGGAATCTATGATAACTATTGTCTTTCTTTAATAAATCTATATTGAAGTCTGATCCTACAATTATATGCCTGTCTTTTGTATCCAAATGCATTAAATATTCATTGAGTTTGTTGAAATATTCATCTAGGTTATTCTGGTATGGAGATCTATAAATTGATGCAACAGTAAAAAATTCTTTATTTATGGTAAAATTTATTTTGGAACATTCAAAAACTGTTTCTTTGATAAGGTTATTGCCAATTGTTGTTGGTTTAATATTTTCTATAATATCACAGTGTATGTTTTTAAATATAGGCCTATTTTCCACCTAGGCCCCTATCTGTTCTGCCATATCCAGCTAGAAATTCATAATTTGATATGTTTAGTGCGCTTAGGCTCACACCTGGTCTAATCCATTCTCGTTGATTAAAAATAAACCAGATTTTTCTGAGAGCAAAAACTGTTCAATAATTTCAATTTTTTTTAATGTTGTCACAATCCTTTGGCCTAGTTGTGTTAATATTTATGTTTTTTCTTGGTTTAGGCTGGTTTCCAAGTTTTTTGAGGACTTGTCACAGCCTACTGTTTCAATGTACAGTAAAACTAAATTGCA